AAAAAGAAATCCCAAGAAATCTACAAAAAACCTTCCTGGACTAAATCAGCTGAGTTCAATGAGGCCACAGGATATAAGAAAAACACAGAAAAATTAAAAAATCAATTATATTTCTATAGATTAGCAATGAACATGTGGACCAAAACTTAAAAATATCACTTATAATCACTACCCCAAAGAAAAAACTTCATGTAAATCTAATAAACTATACATAGAACATAAGTGCTAAAAACTAAAAACGCTGAAGAAAAAAATCAAAGATCTAAATAAATGACTTAAACAGTGCTCATGGACTGGAAGATTCGATATGATAAAAAGCAATTCTTCAGGCACCTGTGTGGCTCAGTCAGTTAAGTGTCTGCCTTTGATTCAGGTCATGATCCCACAATGAAAGGAGTACCTGGCTGGCTCAGGTGGTAGAACATGGGACTCTAGAGTTCACGCCCCACAATGGGCGTGGAGCCTACATAACATGAAAAATAAATAAAACGTAAATAAAATTACAATAAGGTATCATTACACATCTACTAGAATGGCTGAAACAAAAAATAATGTCAACACCAAATGTTGGTGAGGATGCAGAGAAACGGCTTCACGTACAATACAGGTGGGAATCGTAGGATGGTACAGTCACTGTTAGGGACTGAATAGTGTCCCCCCAAAATTCATATGTCGCAGTCCCAACCACCATCCTCAGAATGTAACTGTTTTTGTGGTATTTTTTTTTTTTTGCTTTTGTTTTTGCTTCTTATTGAGATAAGGTCTTGAAAGACGTGATTAAGTTAAGATGACAGCAAAGCCCTAATCCAGTATGACTGGTGTCCTTGTATGAAGAGGGAGAGACACCAAGGGTATGAGCCCACAGAGGAACGGCCACGTGAGGTCACAGACAGGAAGGTAGCATTTGCAAGCCAAGGAAAGAAGCCTCAAGAGAAACAAGACCTGCTGACATCTTCATCTGGGACTTTAGCCTCCAGAGTTGTGAGAAAATTAATTTGTTGTTTAAGGTACCTAGTCTGTGGTATTTTGTTATGGAAGCCCTAGCAAACTACTATAGATACTAGCATACAACCTAAGAACTGTACTCCTGGGCATTTACCTCAGAGAATGAAGATACGTTCACACAAAAACCTGTACACAACTGTTACACAGCAACCCTACATATAATAGCCCCAAACTGGAAACAGTTCTTTAGTGGGCAAACGGTTAAATCCATGTCACAGAGTAGCACTCAGCAATAAAAAGAAATGAACTATTACTGACAGATACAACAGCCTGAATGACTCTCCAAAGAATTATGCTGAGTGAAAAGAGCCAATCCCTAAAGGATACATGTATGATTCTATTGACATAACGTTCTTTTTTTTTTTTTTAATATTTTATTTATTTACATGACAGAGAGAGAGAGAGATCACAAGTAGACAGAGCAGGAGACAAAGAAAGAGGGGAAAGCAGGCTCCCGCCGAGCAAAGAGCCTGATGCGGGGCTTGATCCCAGGACCCTGAGATCATGACCTGAGCCGAAGGCAGAGGCCCAACGCACTGAGCCACCCAGGCGCCCCTGACATAATGTTCTTGAAATGACAACATTATAGATACAGAGAACAGATTAGAAGTTGCCAGGACTTGAGGGGTAAGGGTGAGAAAGAAGTGGGTGAGACTACACAAGTACAACATGATGATCCTCGTGATGATGGAAATGTTCTGCATCGTGACTACAACAGTGTCACCTGTGACATTGTACTGGAATCCTGTAAGACATCCCCAGTGGGAAAAACAGTAAAGAGTATACCTCTGTATTTTTCTTTTTAACCACTGAACGTAAACCAACAATTACCTCAAAAAAAGTTTAACAAAACAAGCAAGGAAAACAAAAACCCATTTCTAGAAAAATCCATTACAGTACACGTAAACACACATGATGACGTGTTTGTCAGGATGGGAAGAGGTTCTAGATTTGGACCTGGTATCAAAACATCTCAATCCACTTACCTGCTTCACTTTGACTGTTGAGTGGTGAGGGCTTCGGCTTCTCTTACTCCGAGGAGACTTGCTTCTTCTCCCTGAGGACTTGTTTTTCTTTTTGGCTGGGGACCTTTTCAGAGCATGGTACACACAGGGTTTTATCTCAATTTCCCTTCCCCCAAATAAATTCACTTCAAGTAACAGGCTTACCTACTAACACAAAGAGCACATTTGTGAAGGGCTCTGCTTTTCACATTAACAGAGGCGAGCACTTCACTCTCCAGCCCTGACGTCTTCCTTGAGTTCCAGACCCACATACATGGCTATCTACTAAACCTTCTCACAGAGCATAACTCTTGCTTTCTCCAACCCCTCAAAACCCTTTCCTCCCTCAGTCTCTGCCATTTCAGTAACCACCTTCCAGCCTGCTCCTCAAGACAAAAACCTAGAAAACGCCCTTAACTCTTTTTTTCCCTCACCACCAACAGCTCCCCACTCCCTCCCCCCACAACCACATTAATCCATCAGTGAGTCCTGCGGCTCTATCTCCTCCCTCTCCCACCTCACTCCTACGACTCTCCTTGATCACCGGACAATTCCCCCCCTATGTCTAGAACAACCACATTAATTCGGCTTCAGGTTCTTTGAGCGCATTGTTTCCTCAGCCCGATCCTTACGAGGCAGGATTAGTCTTATCATTCGGGTCTCAACTCAGATGGCACCTTTTCAGGGAGCCCTTCTCTCACTTCCCTTCGAACTCCATCACATGCCTGTTTTAACCTCTTCTTTAACCTAATACTTGTTACTAACTGAAACTATTTTCTTTATCTGCTTACTATTTTGTCTCAAGGTGAGAGCGCATCAATTCCCCCAGGGCAAAGACGACTGCTCACCCTTGAGGCCCCTGTACCTAGGACACTCTTTAGCACCCAGTAAAAACTATGTTGAAGGAATGAATCAACGAGTCCAGCAAGAGATCATTTTCCTTCCAAATCTCTACCAGGTAGACCGCCTAAGCTCTCAACGTGGGAAACTTTTGGGGCAGATAACTGGAAAGCCAAAGCCGGCACTCCATTTGCAGGCAGATGGGGAAAATCTTTTATTTCAATTCGATCAGTACTACCTGCTGGGCCCGTACTCGGCCAAGAACTGGGCGCAGAGAGGAAGGGGTGGGATCCTACCCATTAGGCATCAGGCGCTTTAACCCAAGTGACAGGTACCAGAGTAAACATTCTTCAGCACAAACCCGACAGGCTCACTTCCATCGCTTTAAGATTAAATCCAAGCTGCAGCGCGCGGCATTCAAGGTGTGTTTCTGACGCTAGCCCTGTCTCTTCTCAAGGAGCCAGACCCAAGTCCATCCCGGGCGCCTTCCCACTTACCGGCTACCTCCTCGGGCTCGGTTCCCGCGGTGACCAGGGCGGCCCGGGTCGCCGGCTGGCGGGGACGCGCTACCCCCAGAGGAATCTGGGCGGCGGTGGGCGGGAGGCGCGGCTTCCGGGCTGAGGCGCTCCTGCTTCACCTTCACCACCACCGCCGCCGCCACCACGTCCCCGTCGCGGTGCCTCCGCCGGCTCCCCCGCTCCCGCTCGCTCTTTACCTCCTTCATGCTGAGATACGAGCCGAGCGAAGGAAAAACAGGTCCGTTGCGCTCCTCTCCCTGAAGGAAATGACGGCCCTGACCCCTGAACTTCCGCTTCCGGGTGCGTGTTCTCCCAGAAACCCTGGCGGCGGAGATCTAAGCACGTGACAACCGCTCCGCAGCTGGCGGGATTGTAGGGACCCGGTCGGGTGGCGGGAATTTTAAGTGTCAAAAAGAAACAGGGAAACAGCTCCCCTCGAGGCTGTTTGTTGCCGCGTTATTAGTAATTACTAAACGGAGACAATCTGAATGCCCAGCAGTAGGAAACTGTTTAGCCAACTGACGAATGGTCTGTCTCCGTTCGTAATGCGGTTTACAAGCTCTGTGACGGAGGGAGGAATCCCTGCTTTGTTCAACGAAAGAAGCGGCATCAATAATGGTGCGCAAACTGTGATTACACTTAGGTTTGGAAATACGAAGTTAAGAAAGGAGGAAATGGAATCACAGTACTGCCCGTGGGCCAGTCATTAGTATTTCCCTCTCTATTCTCGAACTTTATGTTATGTTGTCATTTCAACATCTAGTTAAAAACAAACTTTTTTTTTTAAGATTTTTTTTTTTTTTTTTTTTTTGACAGATCACAAGTAGGCAGAGAGAGAAAGGAGGAGGAGGCAGGCTCCCTGCCAAGCAGAGAGCCCGACGCGGGACTCGATCCCAGGACTACTGGGACCATGACTCGAGCCCAAGGCAGAGGCTTTAACCACTGAGCCACCCAGGCGCCCCCAGAACAAACACTTTTTAAACATGTTTTATTTTCAAGTCATCTCTGTAGCCAGCGGTGGAGCTCGAACTCACCGCCTCCAGATTAAAAGTCTGACGCTCCACTGACTGAGCCAGCCTGGCGCCCCCAAAACAAATACTTTTTAAAAACCTGGACCTCCAGGGGCGCCTGAGTGGCTCAATGGGTTAAAGCCACTGCCTTCCACTCAGATCATGATCTCAGGGTCCTGGAATCGAGCCCCACATTGGGCTCTCTGCTCAGCGGGGAGCCTGCTTCTCTCTCTCTGCCTACTTGTGATCTTTCTCTGTCAAATAAATTAAAAAAAAAAAAAAAATCTGGAGCTCCAGATGCCCTCCTCTGGGGATCTTCTCCAGGCCTTCAGGGAGGAGTCACGTGACTTCCATTTTGCTGGCGACAAAACTGGGGGTCAGCGAAGGTGACTTGCCATCTCATTCAAATTGCGAACAAGATGCAGCACAAGGACTCCAGCTCCTGTTTTGCCCGTTTCCAAAAGTATCAAGGCGACCAGTGAGCGGGAACCCTGATAACGTAAAGCACAAGGAGAATTTTTCGCGAAGGCTGAGCGGAAACTCACGACTGCTGGCCCCGCCCCACTCCGAAGCCCCGCCCAGGCCACGAGGAATGGGGAGGAGGTTTCCATGGTGACAGCAAACAAGGCGCACACTTGAGGGGCAGCAGCCGGGCTACTACCCGCGTCACCGCCATGATCCCCCCTGCGGACTCTCTGCTCAAGTATGACACCCCGGTGCTGGTGAGCCGGAATACGGAAAAGCGGAGCCCCAAAGTAAGGACAGGTCTCATGGAGCGGGGGAGCCCGGGAGCTCCGATGGGAAAAGATCCCTGCGGTGAGGGTCCGGGGTCCAGAGAGACGTGGGCTGCAGCAACTGGGAGCAAAGGGAATTGGGACAGGGGAAGGAAGATGGGAGAGCGGTACAAGGAACCCAGATGGGTGACCCCAGAGGGCAGATTTAGGATGAGGAAGGAAGTCATAGAGGTGGATGGGGCTCATTCTTTTTTGTAGTTGTCTGGTCCAGGAACAGATCTGGTAGTGACTGTTCGCTCCATCACTAGAGGGTTGAGCACCCGTGCCGGAAACACTTGTTCCAGGAGATACAGGTCTTGGACTGGGGTGGCTCCGGAGGCTCTTCATGGCTTCCTTAAGCTGAGACATAACTTTTGAGAAGACAGGTGGAGAAAGTGATCTGGGAAGAGGGGAAGGGTGTTTAGAAGACCTGGGGCAACTCCGAGGGCTTGGATATGTGGAGTTCAGTGTCTGCCCTAACTTGTCCATTTTTCTCAGGCACGGCCACTGAAAGTCAGCCCCCAGCAGCCTGGACCCTCCGGTCCAGTCCCACAGCCACCAAAGACCAAGCTCCCCTCAACTTCTGTCCCAGATCCTACAAAGCAGGCAGAAGAAATCTTAAATGCCATCCTACCCCCAAGGTAAAAATTTAGGAGCAATGGCTGGGAGAAAGCCCAGGCTTTGCTATCCCAGAACTTGGGAATGTAGGAAGAGGTACCCTGTCTCTGCCCCTGGCCAGGATTTCCTCCCAGCCATCCAGCACTCCTAGAGCTTGCAGATGGCTGGATCCTGGAAGGGTGGGGGGCAGGGAGACCTCTTCTCTATCGTCCTTTTTTCCTGAGTGCTCAAACCCAGGCTCATGGCTTTAAATACCATCTATATGCTGATGACTCCCAAATGTGTTTTTCCAGCCCTGTTCTTTTCTCTAAACTCCAGACCCGTATATTTTACTGCTTCCTCATTAGCTTCATGAAGGTGTCTCCTAGGCGTCTCAAACTCAGCATGTCCAAACTAAATCACGATGTCCCCCTCTCCCAAACTACTCACCCCCAGTCTTCTTTCTCCTAGTGGCTCAGGCCACCCTTCATTCCTTTTGGTCTCTCACGTCACACTTCTATCCTTCATCAAATTCTTTTGGCTCTACCTTCAAATTTATATCCCAAATCCAACCACTTTCCACCCCCTCTGCTTCCACTGTTCTGTTTCTCATCACTGTTTGTCACCTACATTGGCCTCCTATCTGAAAACCTTGCTTCTATTCCTAAGCCAGATCATGCCAGTCTTCTGCCAGGAACTCTTTAATGGTTTCCCATGTCCCTCCGACTAAAATCCCAAGTCCTTTCAATGACCTGCAAGAGTTAGCATCATCTGGCCTCGTATAGCCGTGATCTCGTCTCCCATTATTCTCCTTCTCTTCAGGGGGGTGATGCCACAGAGGCCTCTGCTCACTGTCTCTGGACACTGCTCTGACAGTTGCTGTTCTCACTGCCAAGGATACTCTTCCCCCGATGTCCACCTCGTTCCCTTCCATCTCTTTACTCGGGTCTTGCTCAAATGTGATTGCCTCAAGGCAAGCATTCCTTGAGAATCCTTATTTTAAAAAAAACCATTTTCCCTTCTTCACCATCCCCCTACCCTGCTTCCTCCTTATCTGACATGCTTTGTTGACTATTTTTATGTAATACGTTAACAGCACGGTTTCTAAGGCTGTGTTGAAAAGAGACTCATCCGAGATGGAAGTCAAAGAAGGGAGGGGAGATTTTTCAGGTGACTCCCTCCTGTCAATAAATGGAAATCCTCTCCCCACGGTGATTCTTCCCTCAGGCTCCCTTCTTGTGATTCTGGAACCTGACCAGGCCTCTGACATAAGGTTTACTGGGGGGCAGACCGGTGGGGGGAGCGAGGAGGGGACCACATAGGCACACGCCTTCAGGAAGCTCCCCACTGCACACATTTGCCTCTTTCTGGCTGGCACAAGTTTTATGGTGCCCTGTGTGTCCCACCCCACAAGTCAGTGGGGAATTCTCACTGGCCTTTCTGTTCCAATCAAGCACCAAGGCCCATGAAGCTCCCCTCACTCAGCTCATTAGGAAGGTAAGATCTGGAACATGGGTGCTGATTTCACAGAGAGCCACAGGAGGGTAGAGATTGCCCAGCTCCCAGGCAGAGGCCCCGTGGAGGTGGCTTAGTGGGTGTGGCTATTAAGCCCTGCACTCCTCAGAGAAGAGATGGATAGAAGCTTCTGGTGGGTTGGTGACAGAACTGCCCCTTGTTCCTGCTCAGGCAGAGGACCCAAAAGGCCAGTTCTGTTTGAGTCCCGGGGCCCCTCTAGCTGTGGGTTTACTCAGCCCGGCTGTGTCTGTGCCACAGGGAGTGGGTGGAGGACACCCTGCTGTGGATCCAGCAGGTGTCCAGCACCCCCAGCACCAGGATGGATGTGGTGCATCTCCAGGAGCAGCTGGACCTGAAGCTGCAGCAGCGGCAGGCCAGGGAGACCGGCATCTGCCCCGTGCGCAGGGAGCTCTACTCACAGTGCTTCGGTGAGCGGCCTGGCGTGGGCTGCGGTTGCAGGACTACGCGGTCTTCTCCTACCTCCTGCCCTTCCCCATAAGCACAGACCCGAGTTCTGAGTACCCCTGAGCCAAAGCCCACCCCATCCTGGAATTGTCTTCTCTCCCAATCCCTGCCCCCCAACCCCAGGAACTGCTAAAGGCGTCCTCGTCCCCCCATCTTCCAGCCAACCTGGACACCTGTTTCCTAACCTCTTAGCAAATGGTTAAAGATCAGAACTTCCATTTTAAATCTTTGTAAAAAAAAAGATTTTTTTATATTAAGCATGTTAGTTTTTTTTTTTTTTTAAGATTTTATTTATTTGTCAGAGAGAGAGAGAGAGAGAGACAGACAGTGCGGGCGAGCACAGGCAGACAGAGCAGCAGGCAGAGGCAGAGGGAGAAGCAGGCTTCCTGCCAAGCTAGGAGCCCGATGTGGGACTCGATCCCAGGACACCGGGATCATGACCTGAGTCGAAGGCAGCTGCTTAACCAACTGAGCCACCCAGGCATCCCAAGCATGTTAGTTTTTTAATCAGAAAGATTACTGTTCCGTATTTATATCCACCCATCAACATTCAGCCCTTGGCCCAGGAAAATATTTCAGGATGATTTGCTACTAACCAACAGTCACCAAAGAGTTAAGTGATAGTGTCAAATGGCTGTCCCCCAGCCCACACTCCCTGGCCTGAGTGGACTCTGACATTCAGACTGCCGCCACACCCTGCGGCCAGCAGGCTCCCCTCAGTCTGAGGGTGACTAGGGTTTGCTGGCCAGGTCAGCATCTGTGGGAGAGATGGGTGGGCAAGCTCGGATACTTAGTGTTTGCAGCCCCAAGCTGGTCCAGCCAAAGGGGCACGCAGGAGTTCCCAGCTGCTTTAAAGTAGTCATCATCCTCAAACTGAAAAGTCAAATTTCTCAGACTAGTACCCTGGGCTTTCTTTCTGAGGGTGGCTAAGAGGGGCTTCCGGCTACAAGCAAACCTGAGGGCTCCTGTCTCCTTCTGCCCCGGGCTCGCCAACTGCCTGTCCTCCCAAGTGCTAAATTCAGAGCAGTGGTTATCTGGCAAGGCTCCTGGGGCCTCTGTCCCAAAGTGGGGAGGACACATGCTATGCTGTCCCCAGTAGGAAGGGTGGTGAGCCATAGACGTGGCACGGTTTCCCTCCCGCCTGCCCTCCTGAACTCATTGTGTGTGCACTTTGGAAGATGAGCTGATCCGAGAGGTGACCATCAACTGTGCGGAGAGGGGGCTGCTGTTGCTTCGAGTCCGGGACGAGATCCGCATGACCATTGCCGCCTACCAGACCTTGTATGAGAGCAGTGTGGCCTTTGGCATGAGGAAGGCGCTGCAGGCTGAACAGGGGAAGTCAGACATGGAGAGGAAAGTGAGTGGGGTTGACCATGAGGTTTCAGCCCTCTGTGAATTCTTCTGTCAATCTCAGGGCCACAGGGTTGCCATTCCAGATGAAATTCTGGCCTCTGAGGGGGCTCCAGCCATCCTGCCAACGGGGACCCTTGGGTTCAGAGCGGCTGGTCAGCCTGGTGCCGGCAGATCCCACTCCTCGTGGACGTGCCGTGCCAGTCACAAACCCTCCACTGGGTGGCAGCACAGACCCTGACAATGTCAGCTTGGACAGCTGTGCCCAGGTCCCCTCCACCCAGTCACACGATCCTGACCCTTGGTGGCAGCCCAGGATGACCCAAATTTCTGTCCTCAGATTGCAGAATTGGAAGCAGAAAAGAAAGATTTGGAGAGGCAAGTGAACGAGCAGAAAGCCAAGTGTGAGGCCATCGAGAAGCGGGAGGTTGAGAGGAGACTGGTAGAGGAGAAGAAGCACAATGAGGAGATTCAGTTCCTCAAGCGGACGAACCAGCAGCTAAAGGTGGGCCCCCCGCCCTCCCTGGCCTCCCCCAGGCCCACGTGCTGCCAAGGAGTGAAGGAAGCAGCGGTGGGGATGGGGCGGGGTGGGAGGAGACGGTGAAGATTTATTATGTATCTTTTCTAGCCATCGGGCTCTGGATTCCCACAACACATCAGCCCGACTCTCCGGTGGAGGGTGTTTTCCCCTTGGAAAGAAGTCACCCATCCCCCGGGAGGGGCAGATATGGCAGAAAGTGGAACTTCTCTCCCATGACAGCATGGGCTGGATCTCTTCAGCAGGCTCTCTTGGGAGGGCTTTTCCCACCTACGGCCCCTCTGAGGCATGGCCTTTGGGGTGGGCAGGGAAGGCCCTTTGAGAGGGAGAACCATTTCAAATTAGGAACTTTCCCCAAGTGCATGGTCAGGGGAAGGCAACTGGAGGTGTTTTTCCTCCAAGTCCCTTTGCCAGTGGTTTACGTTTACCCAGCCGAGCTGAAGTGGGGCCAGGCCCCTGAAACTGTACGTTCTCTGTGGAATCTGAAGTTTCCCTAAGACTGGGCCCCAGACCAGCATCATCACCTGGGAACTTTTAGAAATACAAACCACTGGGCCCATCCCAGATCTACTGAGTCGGAAACATCGGGGCTGGGGTCCAGCAACCTAACAAGGTCTGCAGCGGAAGTTTGAGTACCGTTGTTCTAGACGGCGGACCTGTTCATGTTTGGTGGTGGTCTCCCATGGCCCTGGCCAGAGGGGCCCGTGGTTGCTGTCTTCCTTTCCTCCCTAGTCTCGTGGGAAGTTTACATTCTTGTGATTGGCAGGCTTCTTGGGGCTCCACCAAGGACAGGCACTTAAGATAAAGACGGGCTTGTATAAACTGCTAGTGCGGGACGACAGATCTTCCTGTTGCTGAGTTTAACGAAGAAAAGCTAGAAACTTCACAGCCAGACATGAATCTATTTACTTAGCAGCTTCTGAAGCTGCGTGCCTTATCTGCCGTGTTCCCTTCACCATAAGCCCGAGTTCCTCACTTCCTCCTGCAGTTACCAGCAGCAGGAGCACAGCGGAATACCTTGGCTTCTAACATTTATAAGCAACCTTGTCATCCCCAGGGGGTAGGACTCTTTAGAAGTGAGTTATTTTTATTGGCTCCAAGCTGCACTGCAAATGAAGCAGTGCCTGCAGTCCCCAAGACAGACCTGCTTAAAGAGCGGTCCACACACCATGTATAGAAAATTATTTGACTGGCTGCCGGAGGAGCAGAGTAAATAACTCCCAAGCGTGTTAAGCTTTACATACAAGATGGACAGCTCCCTACTTCCTGGTAGCAATTTCCTCTAATTGGGTGTCAGGTTGTCTCGGTGGCTGGAAGATGGCTGTTTCCCAAACCTCTCGGCCCAGCACAGAGCTCCCAGGATCCCAGCCCGGAGGGCCAGATGTTTACCTTCGCGTTTCAGGCCCGAAATCTGAGCCGTGAAAAACCACTATTTCAACAACTTTTATTCAATTTCCTTTTCAATGCTTTATATTCTACACGGAGCCATTATTGAATGGAAACCAGGACAGCTCTGGTTTCTCCTCCGGCAGCAAGACTGGATGCCAAGCCCGAAACCAGCTAATCTAGGAAATACGGAATTGGGAATGGAGGGGAAAACACTTGGTGGGGCGGCATCGAATTCTTCTTCCCAGGGACTTTCTCACCTCTCAGCTAAAGGCTGCAAGCTTCAAATATTAATGGAGTTTGTTTTTGTTTTTCAGGCCCAACTGGAAGGCATTATTGCACCAAAAAAGTGATCATTTCCACATGGGTCTCGGCGAGCACTGCTACCCCATCCTAAAAGCGTTGTAATAAAAAAAGCTAGTTTCCTGAGTGAACAGGCCATACCCTCCCCCGAACCCCCATCTACATGTTTGTCAGAAGTCACACGTTGCCCCAGTGGCATGAATACAGGTCTGGCAGCCAGGCTCCTGGCTGGGCTGTAGAAGGCAGTGCAGCCAACGGTCTCTGTACGTGGCCAGCCTTGGGATTTGCCAACTCAGAAAGTAAGGCCTTTTGCCATATCCCTTGCAGGTGAAACAACTGCCTTCCCACCACTGCTCCCTCCTCCCAACTACTCCTAGCCAAATGGGCCGCCTCCCTGTCCTATCTCTGGTCCGTGATGCATCTTGTACCTGACCTTGGGCTGCTGTGGCCTCGGTCTTTCCCTTGAGGTCTTTCACCATCCCCACCCTAGTGCAGTTGTAGTGACTGCTGCAGGAGCTGTGCTTTTATATGAGGTCATTTTACGCCTGCCCAACATGCCCACCACAGCCTCTTCCCTAGTCTCAGGCTGCCCAGGTGAGGCAATGGCAGAGTCAAAGCCATGGCTTCTGAGCGAGTAAATGTCTGCTGGGAAGAAACACAAGCCACAAGGTCCGAGGGCTGCCTGCACCTCAGCAGCCCTGAGTTGCTTTCTTCATCTTACTCGGCAGGGAATCCCACCGTGACCCTACAGCCCTCTAGCTAGCTGTGTTAGTGAACTGGAGAGGCACCCAAACCTCACATGCAGGTCTAATTACTCAGGCCGGAGGCTGCGGCCTGGAGACTGCATTTTACGACTCCTCCCAAGTTCAACCCAGAGTTCAGAGGCCCAGGGCTGCTCCTGGTTCCACAGGCAGAACAGTACATGAGCAACACAGATCTCTCGTTCAGGGCAGCCCGGAGTGGGCCAGCGCAGCAAGAGGAGTGACTGCCCTCCTTCCTGCAGATGCAGATTGCACGAGGAACACACTTGGGAGGGCACGAGCGTGTCCACTTGGCTGCGCTGCCTCAAGTGGCTCAGTATTGCCCTCAGGTGCCAGGAGGGACCCTCCGTAGTGGACCTCTGACCCGACATCGTCCCTCTTAAGGCTCCAAGGCTCCCTGGAAGGGCAGTCTGACAAGAAGAGCTGTGTTCCAAGCCAAACTTGCCCTGTACCCCTCTCCTCTAAGATCAGAAGCCAGCTTTTACCCCTGGCCACATGTCCTCGGGCATTCTAAGGCGCCACGGCAATCACCTGTGGGCTGCCATTTTCGTGGGCAAGAGCTCTGCTCACTGAGATGGGCTAGACACGAGAGTTCTTGGCAGTGTAGCACCTATGTCCTCACCACGACTCAGGGACAGCTTGAGAGGCATTTTCCCCTCCTATTTTAAAGCCTGGGCCATGTACACTACATCCTTGAGATTTTGTTTTCACACTTCTGTTTCAAACTAATTGCCGGTATGACAGAAATACCACCTTTTCCATGCTGTAGACCTCATCCCTGTTTCTGTCAGAGACCTGCATGCCACGTTAACGCTCTGGAGGAACTAAGAGGGCTCGTGGAGGTGTCAGAAGTGCCCCTGGACCCCATCACCTAAAGCCTTGGGGTTGCAGGGACTTTCTTTTAACAGCACTGGTGAAGGGTTTCAACTGTCAAACCTCAGAATACATCAGGGCCTTAGAAATGCCAACTGGGCATGAAGAGAAGAACACAGTTTCTAATTGCATATTTTTGTATAATTTAATAAACTTTTAAAATGTTACTGCTTATGTTTGAATTTTTTGTGTTTGTGTTTCTGTCCGTCTGAGTCATTGGTCTTCTTTTTGTTCCTGTTCCTATTTTTCACATTGTGTGTTTCATAGTAGCGTACACCAACTTTCCTGGACTGCTGCTGCCGTGCCGCTCGCCTCCGCTATAAACAATGGCAAGAAAGAAAAAAAAATGACCAAAAAAAAAAAAAAACAAAAACACCCCAGCCAATCGTAGCAAAGTCCCAGAAGAGCCCCTCTGTTTCTCTCTGCTCCCTTCCTATGCTGCTCCCCCAAGTACTAGAAGCAGTGCTAGTAACAAGGAAGGGCTCCCCTCACAGACCCAAGTGTGCTCTTGCACAGTAACTCGTGACTGTGCCATGTTCTAGACGGTCATTTGGTCCAACCATCCACCATGCTGGAATCTTTTCTACCGCACTCCTGACAAGGGGTCCTCTAAGGGTGAACACTTCTAGTAAAAAGCTCTTCATTCCCCGGGGGGGCCACCCCAGCTCTGATGAGCCCAGTAACAGAGCTGGGGGCAGGAATCTGTCTGCCGAAACAGCTCTGCTCACCACAGAAAACCAGCGGACCCTTCTAGAGGGGAGCCCACCTGTCTGAGGACAGTGATCAAGAACTCAAGGACCTTCATCCACTAGGCCAACTCTTAATCCCATTGAACTAATCGCAACTAGGTCACTTAGGACTGGGGTTCTGAGAATTCAACTCCAGACCAGCAGTTCTGGAAAGCATGTCTCTCAGGAAATGGATTGTTCCTCTTTACTTCCCGGGTGACGTTTAAGACCAAAACCACATACTTCCTTAGATGTAAGCATTCTGCGAGTCTTATTTGAACGGTCCTCTTCCCTCTGTGCCTTCCTTTTCTTTCCCTTTTTGGTAGGTGCTGGAAACATAACACACAAACATACAGAAAAGAATCAGGAATTTTCTATCCAAAACTCTGTCTGTGAATGCGAACATGAGAATGAGCTTGATTGTGTTGGAGGGAGAAGGCCAGTGTGCATGGAGTGTGGCGGGCACGGTGCAGGGGAAAAGCGGGATGAGGCCAGGAGGGCGCCAAGTCAGGGGGACCCTTCCAGGCCGTACCAGGGTTTGCATTTATGCCACGGAAACACATTTTCACGTAGAAGCTGTGAGTCCAATGGAGTAAAGAACAGATACCTGACCCATCCCGCCTCCCACAAAACAAATCTGGCTGACTCACCCCTAGACTATAAGGTTACTAATGGTCTCTTTTTACAGGAAGCCTCCTGAATTAACCCCACGAAATGTGCAGAACGGAAAGGAATAACCCCAGCTATACAACAAACAGGGTCACCTGCCCCAAATGACAAGCACCGTGCGGGGAACAGCACAATCCCCCAGTGCAGAGATCAAAGTCACACGTCCCAAGCGGTTTGATGAATTTAACTTTACCTGTGTCTTCTGCAACCTCTTCGGCTGCTCTTTGTTCTTCAGATTTTGCAAAAACCTTTTCACTTAGTCCCTTGGATATTCTGCAACAGAAAAGCCAAGTAACACAGCTGCCCGATCACGTGCCAACCCGGGGGCAGGGACCACCCTGAAGACTGCAGAAAGCCACCCTCCTTCCCGCGGTTGCCACTGCAGTGCACCGGCAGGAAGTGAAGCCCCACAGTTCCAGCAGCTCCCTGGGCCTTGGGCAGAGGCAGACCTAAGCCACTCATAATTCAGGGAGCTCCCTCTCATAAAAGGACAGACCACTTTTTTAAAAAATGGCACTAACTCCTTTCCACCTCCCATAAAAATACTGCTCCAGTCCTTGTAGCAAGTGTCTTAGAAAGGAACGAGCAAACTACAATTTGTGAGAAGACGACGATACGACCTGACTGCTGAAAACTTCTTAGCTTTGGCTTTGTTTAAAAACTTCTGATATTTAGCAATCTTTTCATCCAGCGCTCTAATAATGGCCTTGGTGTCGTTTCCCACGTGTTCTCCCTGGGACTCCGGGCAAGACTCCTCTTCCTCGTCTTCCAGTTGCTCCTGTTCCTCCTCCTCCTCCTCCTCCTCCTCCTCCTCCTCTCCGGAAAAGCTCTCAAGCTCTTCATCGATATCGGACATCTCCAAAGGGACCAGGTCATCCCCGGAAAACTGAGGCACGACATTGATTTTGCCGAAATTCTGCCGAACCCGTGCCAGAATCTGCTGCATTTCTGAGTCCGTGTCACAGTGACTGTTCTCGTTTTCCTTCTCAGTGACACGCTCTGAGGCTTCCCCTCCAGTTGCGGTGACTTCCTCTTCAGCATCCTTCTGGCTTGCTTCTGTGGCAACTTCCAAAGATGGGGAGGACAGGAGCTATTCAGGCCAAAAAGGGGGACAGGCGAGGGAGAGAAATGGGAATCAGAAAATAAAAACCATTTCCGAACTGACAGCCTGCTCCCGAAGGAGGCAGTCCCCTTCTCGGCACTACGGGAAAGAACTGAAAACCCACTCACTGGAATCCCGTCGTTCATCTACCGCAGGCCAAGCCCCATTACACCCTGAAGCCGCGACTTGGCTCCAAGGCCTTCAGCTGTGGTTCCAAAGGATGAGCCCACTGTGAGTATCGAACCACTCAGACCATCCACCATGCCCCGCAGAACGTCTGCCTCCCTCCACCCTCCCTGAGGAGGGGAAGGACTGGGGCTGTGGAGACAGGCACACCCAAGGCGAGCACACACAAGTGCCCTGGACAGAAAGCAGACTGCTAAGCGGTGGGGTGCAGGAGAAGCCCCCGGAGGAAAGGTGTGATGACCAAGAGAAGGGAAGCTTGTGACGGGAGGCCATGAGGAGGCGAGTTGGGGGACAGGGAAATAAGCCGCCTCTCCGAGGTAACAGTGTGTGGCAGGCTTTATCCTGGCGCCTCGCCTTTGTGGTATTATTTTATCCTTGCAACGGAGATTCACGAACCTTCAGGGATTTTCCGAAGGCAAGAGTGGTCGCACACCAAGTGCTCAATAAGTCAGGAATCCAGAACATTCAGGAAATTGTATACAAAATTTGTAGGTACATTTTTATACCTGTTCCCAAAGCTAAGGTTTTAGCTTTTAGATTCTGAAAGAGTTTCGGCCACTACCAAGAGAAAAAAAAGAAGAAAATCGCAGACTGGGGGAAATAATGATCTAAAACTCAATGACCAGACATGGAGGAAGCGCTCAAGATAACCCTATGATGTGCACATAGGGTGACAAGAGACCCTGCCACACCTCCTTCCTACAACCCCCCCCCCACCGCGAGTCCCTTGTGCCTTGTGCCGCTGCGGTCCGGCCCCATGACTTCCTCTCGGCACATGGATCACAGCAGGCAGGCCCTGCCTTCGGCCAGTCCCCTCTCCCAACAAGACAGCTACTCCGTTCCTGCCTCACACCATTAAGGTGTCTACCAAAACGCCACTTCCTCAGAGGCCACCCTCGCCCACCCCACGTACAAGAACACTCCTCTGTCTCCCATGCCCTGACCCTGGTTTTGTCTTCCTCACAGTAAGCAGTGCTTCCTGACATTTTTCTATTTATCTGTTTACTGTCTGTTTGCCTATAGTATCAGAACGTATGTTTGGTTTTGGCACAAGAGCTCTAAACCCCTGAGTAAAAAAAAAAGCGTGCCTGCCATTCTTCCTAACAAGCCCCTTTCCACCACCCAGGAGTTTATGCTGATGACATGCTCACGGTGGGGGGGGGCTCTCTTCAGAATGGGGGCTGGTCACCAGAAGGCCCAAGCACCTGAAGAGAGAGTGAGAGACAGGAGTTCGATCACCAATGGCCAATATAATGGAACGTCCGTGGGAAGCCCTGAAGGGTAAGGTCTGGGGAGCTTCTGGGT